CTTGTGTAAGAGTTTGCCGTACACTTCCGCTTTCTGCGATTCATGTCAATTTTAATCCAACGAACATCTTCATCCTTCGACCTGAAGGTCTTACTGAGGACCGCTTACTGTCTCGTGGAGTCAAGTCTGATGCTTCTCTCGATCAGTGATGGTCGATTCCTCTTGGAACAATTCCTCTCTATTGCCATTTTGAAATAGCATTGCCATCTCCTGTTTGTATCTTAAGCCATTTCTTCCAACTTCTATTTCGATACACTTTTCTATCCTGCTTTGAGTGGCCTGCAGTTTAAGAATGGCTTTCAAGCTTACGGTCCACATTTTTCACGCACAGGTCAGCACTGGGAGCAGACACTGGTCGAAAACCTTCCGTTTCAAGTGCAAGGGCGGTTTGTCTGATTTCTCTGATAAGAACATTTTCAATCTTTCAGAAGCGTACAGTACTGTTTTTGCTTTTCTTTTGATTTTCCAGATTTAGTTTTCCGTTTCAGAAATGATCTGTCCCAGACAGATGTAATTTTGCACCTCCGCAGGCCTAAATTCATTGATGTCAACTGGACAAGAGGTCATGCATTTGTTAAACATGATCTGAGTCCTCTTCAGATTCATTATCAATCCTCCTTTTATGGTGGCATCTTTGAGCTTTCAGATTCTTCTTTGAAGTTTTTTGATGAACTTGAGAAGATCAGAGTATCATTCGGAAATCTCAGGTAGCGGTGACTTCAGAAGTTGCGATTTACCTTCAGCCTCTGATTTTCCCAATGGAGTGTCATGAAAATATATTTGATGGATGTTGAAAATAACGTAGATCATATTGCGTAAATTATTTTTGGAGGCGTCTTTCAGTTTCAAATATATGTATGCACTTGTGAAGCTTTACACTAACTGTCGTATTCTTAAAAGTCATGGCAATAGAGTCTCTCATTTTTTCTCAATTTCCAGGCCCTTAAGACACCCAATGCAGAAATAGGATGCAGACGTTGCAAAGTCATTCAAGTTAAGCCTCAAAATCGTAAATTATTGCACTGATGAATGGCTTCTATTTCACTATGACTGAACTCTAACACTTGATGTCGGCATCTAAGTGTTGGTTTTTAATCTGGAACTCAGTTCAAAAGTTGCTCTAAATTCCAATTCAAAAGAAAATTCTAGTTGCAATATCTGTTCATAGTTCACTGGACGATTTGAATCTACCAGAAATTTTTTTAAAACTACGACGCATATTTCGTAAGTGAATAATGAGTCGTTCCTCAGCATAATCATGGGGCATATTAATTTTTATATTATCTCAAAGTTTCAAAAATTCTCTTCATTCATCAGCATTTTCTCTTACTTGTGTTCGTCAACTCTTACAATCTGTTGGTCAACTGCTATGACAGCAGTTGGCTTTTAACTCTGGGTCACAGAAGGATTCAATATGTTCTGAAAATGTTGCCTGTACTGTCACCGAAACGTGTCGACTGTAAGTGAAAATGATTCTCCTCGTTTTTCATTTGGAATTTCCAACCATGAATCAATAATGCTTTCGATTGAGCATGAATCAGCTGTCACCAGTCCAAACCAGTCACCGTTCTGTGTATATATGCAGATATTTGGATCGTTTGTATAAGGACTGAAACTGATTATCATATTATGAGTCCCTCAAGGTACATTGTACATATTACGCCTTAAATATAGCCGCAAATATTTCGTGATCCACAGTCGCCTCGCAAATACAAAACAGTGTTGAAAACTCTCCACATATAGATAAGTGGGTATGAGAGCGAATTCGTTAAGCAGTTAGGCTCGATCTGGAACACTATGTCTAAGCAGATTGTAGATGCTAGCCCCGTCATACATCTACTAGAGAACAGAACGCCATTATCAGATATAAAACGCTCGCTTTCATGTAAGCTTTGCTCTTACTTTGTGAAGTTACCTTCCACACATTTACAACGATTGATTCTGACTAATTTTTGAACTCTAAAGTTGTTTAGGCAGTGTTCCTGGTTTGCAGCGTATGTATGGACGCTTGTACGGCAAGCGCTGTTCAGTTTCAGTGCCGAGTCTAAGACAGCGAAGGCCTCTCAGCATAAACCTCGGCTCGAACCTAAAAATTAACAATGATGTACGAACACAATGCTAACATTCTTTAGCCAAATAGCATATGAATTTGCATACTTTAGTTCTTTACCATCCATTTCAACCGTAATGGCACAATGAAGTCGATCTTAGACAAGAGATCTGGCAAATTGCTAAACATTTCCCAGCAGTTCTTTTACTACGGCGCAGGACCGACGCTGAGCTACGGTCGTCCATCCGGAGCGTACGTGTTTCAGCCGGGTGCTCTCAAGCCTGTATCGGAAAATGCAACAAATATAGTTGTTTCCCAATTCCTGGTACATTTGAAATTCGTTACAATCAGTGTTTCATTATCCGTCACTCTGTTCACTTCATAGGGAACGCTAGTCGAAGAAATGAGGCAAATATTTTCTCCATGGGTTTCGCAGGTGATTCGGCTTTATAAAGACAAGCCCCTCATCGAGTTCGAGTGGACTGTTGGACCAATTCCATTATCGTTTGCATTTATTTATTAAGCAATTATCCAGTTATACCATCTTTACTTTTCAGGAATTACGGGCCCAACAGTCACGATCCGAAAGAAGTGATCACTCGGTACTCGAGTGGGATAAGCAACCAAGGCGAATTCTACACAGACAGCAACGGCCATCAGAGCGTGAGACGAAAGTACGAACTTTTTGACAAGTCTATTAGCCTTAACAGGTGCAAAACTAGTCTTCACGACTTTATACCTTAGAGAGTGCAAAATTGGCACATGTCCATGTATGACTGAATTACATAAAATGCATATTTAAAGTGGGTTTGTAATCATGCGAATAAATTATTTCAGCTTTCAGATCAGTCACTTAGCAATATTGACTACCGCTCATAAACGTTTAGTTATTTGCAAACATCATCAGTCAGAAGTACGATTAAAATATTTAAAAAAATTTTGTCTTCAGATCTATAGCATATTTCTTAATGTTTCATACAAATAAAAATCTTCATCTGCGCCGCGAAATGCTATGAAAGAATGGAATCGTTTGACGGGAGGAGATAGAACTAAATAGTACATTCTTTATCCGAATTGATTCGTCATAGCTTCTTAGACGATTTCCCTAACAAAACAGTTTTATTAAGGGATTGATAAGTGTTTCTGCACCAGTTTAGAAACCAGAGGGGAAAGATTGTTTTCACCCTAAGTTACATCCAAAAATAGAAAGCATGCCGAGATGATTTTATCATATCGTCTATCGCTTCAATATCTAGGAAAAACAACGATTTCTTTCTCTTTTTTCTTTCGTATTTTTACTTCGGGAACTGTTTATCCTTTTCGATCTTGAAGGCAGCAGTTTCCGACGAAGATTCCATCATTTATGGTTCTCCGGAGGGTGCGCATTTCGACCTTAGACTCCCCAATTTTAATATTCACTTCGTCGACATATTTGGACCAAGTCATGCTGGATTTTGGGTTCTTTTGCTGGCGCATTGACAACGACTAGCTTTGCTTGCTTCCATTCTGGAAGCATCAGTAAGACAGGTTAGACTCATTTCGGTTGAGACCAATCAATCGTGAAACGTGGTGGTTCGATTTGAAAGTCTCCTGATCACCTAGCGTTGAAATCTGTCGAAGTACGAAAGCCAAGCGAATCCTACCAGCAAGTCCATTTTGACCGCTTGTACTCGCGATTTTGTTCTTTAACTCATTATCTATTAAAACCTGGCCTTGGATGCGAAATGACGTGAAGATCGAAATGAAACTTACTTCCATTGATACCGCTAGTCAAAGTTTCGTACTTGCGCGCATGAAGCCATTGTGGGTGTTTCTAAGTGCAGGGTGAATTGAAACATGCATTTGGTTTCTTGAATGTTCTCGAAACGATACTGCAAACGTCTTCTTTCCCAGAGTATAGTAAAAGCACGGAAATATGAATTTTTACAGCGTGTGAAACATGACATAGGCAAGCGCGAAATTCTCTTCTTTCATGTTTGCAGCTGACGACTCTTCGAATTGCTAGCAGATCATCGATTCTCTCATCACTGTCAAAAGTAATTGCATCTTTTATCGGTAGACATCCGAAGATGGTGATGCCAGACCAATTTGACAACGTTTCCAGGGAGTTTAACCTTGCAAATGCGACAGTGTTCTTCCCAGATCAGAGCTTTCAGCAGCATAACGTGGTTCACAGTCGAAGGTAAATTTTGACTAGAGGCAATATCGACTCAATCCGCACACGTTTTTTTGCATAGTCACACACTGGGAGTAACCGGTTTCTGCCAACATAACGCGGTTGTTGGTTGAATGATCAGCTCAAATCTGCATCAGAATTCAAACTCTCAGATTATCCTGAAAGCCACTTTCTAGACTCTACTTTCTATCAAGGAACTTAATCTTGTATGATAATGCAGTATTCGATGAAGAATGCTATTCATAATTTCCTCAGTGGCAGCATTCACAGTGTGATTCCTGGGACTGTCATTCAGCCTCCTATCGTAGCCTCGTAATTCCTATGATTACAGTGTGCCTGTGTTTTATACTGCAAGAAAACGTGCATGGTAGTTGCAGAATCTCAGTTGCTTGTCTATTCCAAGCATTTCTTATGGTTATCATATTGAGCATGCAGTAATGGTTATCTTTTCAGAATGAAATTTTTTTCTCTCACCAGAATAACAATAAAATAATAAAATGGTACTCATTCGATGAATTTTGTTGAAAGAACACAAATCATAAAAGGATAAAGCGATAGACAACAGCCATTGAGCAGATGCACTTTGTGGCTCGCCGGCTTTGCTTTCGACAGAGTTCTCCTTATCGCATAAGAAAGAAGCATCTGATACCCAGGGCTTCCCCCCCCCCTTGCCACTTAGTATGACAGTTTTTGTCTATTATTTGGATAATCTATATCGTTCTGTGGATGATTTAAAACTGATAAATCTTGTGATCGCATGCTGGGCAACACGAAAAACAGCAAAAATTTATTTACAACTCTTTCAACATTTGATTGAAGTGACATCCATTGTTATCAGGAAATCTGACTTCATTTAGATTTTCCATAAATTTTCAAAGCGATTGGATAGAAGAATCGACCATTTAATGAAAGTCATTTTCTGTGTCACTGTCAAATTAATGTTGACTCAGTTCTGTTCCCGTTAGCGTTAATTACCTTAAGTTGCCAAACTTTCTGTAACCACTTCAATTCGCTACGCTGAAATGTACGCTTTACGTCGGCTAACAGTTTAATAACGGTTTATGAGAAAGTTTTCATTTAAGAAGGAACTTCCAGCTGACATTCTCGGCCGACAAAGACGAGAGTTTATCGGCTAATTATTATCCGGTCACAAGGTATATCTACATCAAGGTAACACATAAGTCAAAATGCTCTATTTAATTTATGTATTGTCTAGGATCATGATCTTGCCATGGCTGTCATCAACGACAGGAGCCAAGGTGGCTCGAGCGTTAAGGACGGTTCTATTGAGCTGATGGTAGTACAGACCTGCGAAACTGTCCTACCTAAGATTGGTTTCAATATTTAGCTCCATCGACGACTGGCGTTTGACGATTCTCTCGGCGTAGAGGAAGTGCTCAATGAAACTGAAAACGGCAAAGGCCTAGTTGCTCGAGGACGTCACTGGTTGGTCATCGATTCGCCAACCGAAATTACCCGTGTCATACCACATTTAGCTATGGAAATGTTTTATCAGCCGCTTATGACCTTCGCACCAGTGGAGAAAGCGATGAATTTGAATAAGCAGGTATGATAATACAAATTAATACGAAGATTCACTGGGAATATGCATGCAAATTAATCACCATAGGTCAGCGGCTTAACGCGCGAACTTCCTCGAGGCATCAACGTACTGACGTTAGCTGCATGGGAAAATGATCAGATTTTGCTACGGCTGGAAAACTATCGTACCTTGGACAGCAACTATCAAGACAGAAGTGCCGTCGTCATTGATTTGAAAGTAACGCTACCCATTTATCGCTATTCGTTATGGTGACAGATAACGTATCTCTTCAACAGCCAGACTTAACTGCAGACTGTACCACCCTTCTTTCTAGTTTCTCAAGGGGTCGTTTAGGTAGAAGACGGATCAGTGGTTCTCCAGTACCCGCAGTGTCACATGCGCCTCGCATCGTTTTGTTCGCTAAAGCTACCTCCCGCTCATTACGAACGATATTTCAAAAACGGTTTCCTGGTTGCACCATAATTGCCAGCGATTGACACGTGTCAAAACATTTGAATAAATCGACCACAAGACCTTTCTTTCGAAGCATTTAAGCACAATTGGAGCCACTGCAATGAATCTGTAGTCAACTGCTGTAAACGATCTATGAGGTTTTAGCATAGAAGTTTATTCACAACGTCTGCCATAATCAAGCACTGCACATTTTGATAGGCTGCCGTTTTACAGCACAGAAAGGACTTCAGAAAGTGAATCGAAACCAAACATAAGAGCCATGGGATCTAAGTTGTAGGATCCCGCAGTCGTGGAAGCTTTGATTTGCTTGAATTGCAAATGTACGCTGTCACCCAAAATGGTGGGTGATGACATGCCGATTTCGCAGTTGAGACGAATTGCTTCTGGCAAGCGGATGACTGGCTACTTCCTCATTTTCGAGGAAGCCATAGAATATAGTTGCTGAGAGTCTCAGGATCTATATCCACGGCTCTGTGTTTGTCTCAGTTTCGGATTGCACAGACCGTTAAATGCGGCCCGTATATCTTTCTCATTTCAGCGAAATGCTCGTGGTCGAGTCGAGGAATTTCAGACCTCACTTGCCTCCGCAGATATTTAAAGATTGCTTTTGTTTCCGGCCCTGTACTTTTTTTTCGTTTGCTGAATCAGTCGTTTAATACCGTTCAATCAGCAGCTGACGTTCATGATGTACATTTTCTGAGGGCAGGTTTCGAAGGAAAAGTTGCTGCACGCCGTTACGGTTTCCTCGTGTCTGTTTACCTCTTCTTCTTGGGAAACGTCCCAATCTGTTGTTTTCATTACAGACTGGAAATGGCTAATCCTTTCAGTGTCTAAATAAACTCTGAATAGCAACACTCCGACTGCGCCGAATAAAGTGCGCTGCCCCTGTTTGCTGCATATACTTACTGTGAGACGTAGAACGTGTCAGCTCTTGTGGGAAACGAAAAGAAGTCAGTGAGGCCAAGATCCGTTAACCGTGTAACGCCATGTAAATTAATGTCGGTCGTGAACACGAATAGTTGACCGTTAAAACCCCGGACAACATTCTCACGAAGTTTCTCCACGGAAGAATTCACAATTATGAACGTACAGTCAGGGTTTATGTTCGGATTACCATCGAGAATGCTGGAATATGTCGGTAGGTACTTTGGCTAGCATCA